GACTGAAGCTCCAAAAAAGTGGGTCCTCACTTAGCTCCACGATGAACTTTTTTGGGCACCAACTTTCAACTGCAACCACAGGTAAGATTAGCCTTTTTTTTTTCTGCTGCATCCTGAGTTTAGTACCTTCGTGGAGACCTCCTTTATCAACCAAAGTATGGAAGTTGCGTATGAAGAGCCGAATTCCAAAGATTCAAGATGTAGTATTTACCTTTGGCTGTCAAACCTAAAGCCCGCTATTAAAAGGCTCCCCCCGCGCTCATAAGTCCCTCCACAAGCTCGTAGTCAGGCAGGTTCAAGTATTTCCTTACTACGTTCGTCGATTCCCCTTCCAAGCTGCCCATTTTTATTTATTTCTAATCTTCCATATCTTCTAATCAACCAAACACCTCGAATGCTTTCGGACCAAAAATATAAAATCCAAAGAAAAAATCATGACAACTCCCCAAAATGAAGCTCTCTCTTGCTCTAGGTAGAGTGTTGATGCTCGCCTCCACCATCATGGGAGCAAACTTTCATCCTGGCCACCGACCCTTCCGGCGTTGGGCTTTTTGCGACGCGGCCATCACCTGCCATTCGGATCATGATTGCTTAAGCGGGTATAATTGCCTAGCAATAGCAAAACTTGACCTTTTTTTGATTCACTGCGGTACCATGTTTTATCCTCGTTCTTGCTATGCTTACTTGGGCCCCTCAAAGGATGGAGAAAACGAGACCTACGCCTCCTCAAGCGTGTGACCCGCTTGATATCAAAGTCCAAGAGCCTACCATAGATAGCCATTTTGTTTTTATCGAAGCTTTGTAGCTGTTTTATATATAATAAAAACGAACGACAAAAAAAATTATCCTGACAATCGGCTGATGACGACTTGTTGGACGAGTGAAGGGAAAACCCAAACGAGGAGGGACGGAGAAACAAAATATAATATGCAGTAGAACCGGAAAGGAAAGAAACTTGAAGGATTTGGGAGCGCATTAGAATACAAACGAGCAGTGAAAAGTTGAATATTTTCTTGCCTCTTTTCTATATATATGATACATTGTATTTAGCTCGTCTGTGACTGTTAATGTGAATTGTCCTCCCTCCCCTCTTTTTTTTTTCTTTTTAAATAGATCTAGGACTACGGAGTACGCAGTAGGTGGGGATACGATATACATTTTTTGGCTTGAGAGTTGCCGCAAGATCCATTGAAGCTAATCTAGCATCTGGTGGCCAGGACTTGATCAATTAAATGTCCCTAGTGGTGTAGTGGCTAACATCGCTGTCTTTCACACAGCAGCCCAGGGTTCGATTCCCTGCTAGGGAGGATGACATCTTTATTTGACTTTTTTTTATTATTTTTTAATAAATTTCTACTCCCTCGAATACTATATAAAAACGACGTATTCATATTCGTTATATTTTCCTCCGTTAGCTATGAACCACGCTGGTTTAACTTAACTGCTTACTAACCGCATCCTCAGGAGCCAAGCATGGTCCTTTTTTAACAATTTTATTTATCTTTTTTTTTATGTATATATTATTCACCACCATTATTAACCTGGGCGTTAGGGCGGCTGTGAAAACGCTAACTTCTACATCATTCCGCAGCTGGAGCGGAATACGCGTATAAAAAAACCACATTCCTGGACACAGACCACAGAGTAAGGCAAAAGGCAAACCCTTCCAAACAAAAATGTTTGAGGAGCTCAATGGGTTATAAAGGGGCCTTAAACTTTCGTAAAATTATTACTTCGTCTTAGAATTCCACTTTCTCCTGGCCATCATTGATGGTGAACGACCGCGGACAGGAATTTGTACTACATACGCCACTGTTTTTACTACATACACCAAGGCTAAAAAGAATTCAGTTTAACACGGTAATTGATTTTCCATTAATTAAACCTGCGAATATTTATTATGTGCACACAGTAGTTATCTACTTCATATACTTCTCAAATAGTTCTCATTCTGTCATGAAATTCTTCAAAACTGCTTGTTCTGCCTGTTGCGTATCGCGAGACAATAGAGTTGAGATAGGAAAGCTTTCATTAATCATTATCAGTTGAAACAGGAAGTTCTTCAAAAAATTGGTTTGCTACTACATCTCCTGCATGAAGCTGTCTTTCTTATTTTTATAGAGAACTTTTAATTCATTCAGTTTTGAATCATGTCACACTGTCACAATGACTAGATTCTATCTCGTAAGCTGTGAGCTGAGATTACCAGACGAAAGATTTGTTGAAGAGACTGACTGAGAGATTCACAGTGGCAGAGAAGCTCACAGAGAAATTGAATGAGAACAACAGGATGATGATGATGAATTTTGTGAAAAGATCAATTGATTTACATACGAATTTGGTAGTAGAAGATTATTTTTGAGCAATAATTATAACAAAGAATGTAAAATAGACAGTGATATTCAGCATACACATAATGTTTCTAGTTTTTTATTACCACGCTAAATCGAATTCTTTTTTGCACTGGTGTAAATACGTAGTGGTAAAAACAGTGGTCTATGTATAAATTCGTCCGCGGACTTAAAAGCGCAATTTGTGCATCGGCTCTTCTCATGTTGATACATTACCAATAAAACTACTCCGTATAGTCGCACAAGTTCCCCGACATCACACGCGCAGGACGTGGCTTGAGCAATTTAACAAGCTTCCCAACTCATGACAGAGAAGTTGAAAGCAAACGAGATATCCAGTACAAGTACAAGTACCGTACAATTTCAACACCCGAATTACTCCGGGAAAACAATTAGAATGGAAACCCCGCCTGGTATTCCCCAGCCCTTGCAGCAACAACAGGAAAACACAGCCAAGGAACTCACCCTCCAAGTCAATTTTTCATGGAAACAGCTGAAAAGTCTCATCACGAACAAAGACGACCCGCAATCAACACCCATCTATATTGTTCATTACAGAGCCACGAAACCGCATCTAATTTTCAAGTTTGCTACAGACGACACAGCATTTGCCACAGGCAGTCTGCACGCGATCTCCATCGATGCCGACTGCGAGATTCGCAGCCGGCACTTCGCTCTGAAAGCGCTCAAGCGTTTCAAGACGGAGTATACGCATCTCTCATATGCTTTCTCCAACAACAACGGCGGGGCCAGCAACGATAACAACGGTGGCGCTGTGCCTGAACCTGCGCGCATGACCTGGACCAGCACATGCGGCTTCAAGACTTGGGATTTCATCTGTTTCGATGAGAACCAGATGCCCGTTGCGAAGTTTTCGGCAAATGTCTGGGGGGTGAAGAAAATTGGTTACTTTACTTTCATGGGATCGAATATCCCTAGCGCGTGCGCCATCGGCCACATTAGTGATGAGGTGAGAGAGGAGATTGTCGTTACAGGGCTGACGCTGTTCTATTGTATGGTGCTTCGGACCAACAATATCTTTTCGCTCTTTGGTGCCATCTTCTCGCGCCCTGGGCAGCATGATGGCAGGGAGGAGGAGGAGGATGAGCAAGAGAAAGCGATGTCGAAGATAGCTGTTTCCCGGTAGTGGCAGCACCAGACGCAGATTTAACGAGTACCTATCGGTAAATTCACTCTCACAATCTGGATCGTCTGGGGTTTAAATATGTGTGTGGGTTTCTGGTGGAATTGAAGAGGGACATGATTGTGAGCCTCCAGTAACCAAAGTCTTGGAGGGCTGCCACATAAACCTTGGTTCGTGTTTACGGAAAAAGCTATCCCCCAAAAGCTGGCATAGCTTATCACAAGGGATGTGTCGTAATAATGTGCTATGGCCAAATAGGAAATTTATCTCCAAAGAATCTGCAACTGTGAATGCGGTCCGCATTAGTTAGTTACCTTATCCCTGACTGACTGGCTGTAGCAAAGTGTCTCGCTCAAGAGGTTGACATTGGCCCGTGGACGCGAAATGTGCCCTCAAGTAATTTCCAGCATGGCGAGTATCCTATTAGCAGTTGTGCCCGCCCCCCTTTGATTCTCATCAATTGAATGGACCAACCGACAGGAAGCAGCAGTCTATGTTTCTATGCAAAATGTCTAAAACAGCTTGCCAAGCCAAACTACGCAGGCCATTTCACGTTCATTTGAATCCAAATCCTTGAGCTATTTCGGACTCTATCCAAATGCGTGCTCGAGGTTGCTACCTCAGGTAATTGGTGTTGACTCACACTCCTGATAGAAAGAGTAGATCTCATCTATCTTGTTCTGAATCCATTCCACCTGACCTTCGCGCAAGATAAACCCTTGACCAGCAATGAACGTAAGGTACGGTAATAACGTCCACGTCCCTGTCACCATCCTCAAACGATACCGAAGAACGTGGTCGGGTGAACGAAGCGCTAGGCAGGAATTCTGGGAAGTCTGACAATCATCTGTTTTATAGAGTTGAAGGGTTGCACAAATGCCATCAGCAAGATCCTGGATGGTTGCTCTTGATAACTCAAGCTGGGTGTTCAGCTCCGCTTGATCGAGCTGGGATATGCAGCCTGAAATCACGTATTGTGCCATCAGTCGGGAAGTGCGGTAACGATTCAGTATATCGGCAAAGGACTCCTTTTTTGTGAGGTCATCTTGGCCCTCGCCTAGAAATATCGGTTCGCCACTATCGAGACACGAGCCTGCAATGCCCGGGAAGCATATTTCGGATAGCGAAATTAGCCAGCTCTGAATATCGCTGTCGACCGCGATTGCCTGTTGTAGGAGCCGGAGAATAACATCCTTTTCAGTGGTAGAAGGGCGAAGTTTTTTAAATAGGTTCTGTAAACCCAGTGCCCTTGACGCTAGGGATATCAGCAGAGTCAAAGGATGATGGTCTAGGGGAAGTAGCAAGGTATCAGCTATGACGTCTGCCGTTGGTTCTCCGGCCCATACGGACATTGCCATCTATTTCTTTGTTAGAACGTGATAAATGGTCTCTCCGAAGTAAGGGGGCGACCTACAAGCTCGAGTCGAGCGGTGTTGGTCAGGTCGACAGATAACCTATTCATAGCATTTTTCCGGCTACGGAGCCGCACCAAAGCTGCCGCACCGCGTGCATGTATTGACGCTACCTGCTTCGCTTGTTTAACAGCTTGGAGTACCTGAGTTGAGTTTATATGAGTATGTACACAAGAAATGCGTGGCATGATTCAAAACGGAGGCATTCTGGCTCGGCCCCTCTAACGAACGCTTTTCGATTTTGGGCAGTAGATGGGAGACACATACTTCATGTATCCTTAACAGTAATATGCCGATAAGCGTTTCGTCATTCTCTCTTCTTGTTTCATCTTCAAGCGCCTTCCTCACTGCTGAGATGGCTTTGTAGAAGTAAATATCTCCAAGCCATTTCTCCCGTGGTGACCCACATAGAGAACCTACTGCGGAGCACGCAACAGAAATGGTGGAAAGATAAATGATAGAATCCGGATTTGAATTTAGGAATGCAGAAGGGAAAAAGTCCAAGTAGCCTGTCCGCACACGGGCATCCTCCGGACTGTGGAAAATAGAAAAAAAAAATTGAACGGCAAGCTGTTCGGCCGGGAAAGTTAAATGATTAGGAATTTGATGGACTTCATTGAGTAAAGTACACTGCCTGAGGGTGACTTCATTGGATGACTGGGAGACCACATCTGAGGACTGATCATGAAGTGGGCTGAATGAGGTCTGATCTTTAACCATCACGTTGAGCGGATAGCCAGGGCATTTCCACCCGCTCCGGATGCATCGGTAGCACTCAGGAGTTCCTTCATCGCACTAACACCCCGTTAATGAGTGTTCTTGTCGATCGAGGGTATGAACGCTTCGCCCTGCACGTATGTATGTATGTAGGTAGGTAGGTATGTAGGTATGTACATACCTTGATGCGGCGTTTCTTACAATTGCCACAACCGCGGCGGCTTTTTCGCCCAGGCACCATCATTATCAAGCGGCAGACCTGTAACAACTTGTGGGTTATGGATGTTGCGATATAGCAAACTTAGGGCCTGTTCCGAGACCCTGTCCAACTCTGTATAGTACGGCTCTATCTCCTGGAATATTGCTGACTCGAATCCAGCCACAGACCAACGATTATCGGACAAGTCCATTAAAAAAATATCACATGTGGGCTCAATACGGAAAGGTGGGGGGTTAAAGTGTACGGCAGTCTACGAACCTATACGGATTAAATCACCGAACAGGCCTAATCTATCTGGTAATTCCTGGCATTGGGCGAGTACCCAATGTCCAGACCCCGACCCCCGACCCCGACAGGACCCTCGGTTCTTCCGCCAATCCGCCATCCGCGCTCTACGCTGCGTTAGTCCTGACTCCTCGAAGGCTTGGCGCCTAAGCCTGTTCCGGGATGTAGTGCGATCCAG